TAACATACAAAATCGTTTGATAACTTTCAAAATTAATTTTTGGTGTATGTATACGACTGATTTGGATGGTTATTCAACAGGTAATATCATCATGTTGTCGTAAGTTATCCAATTACCAAAATGCCAACAAAAGACATCTCTTTTGAGTTGAATATCATGAGCTTACTTGCCGGAAAAGTAAGATTTTCAGTAATCCTAGATCGTATTAAATGGTGAAGGACTAGTAGTTGAATTTTCCAGCAATACATGATAATTTCGAAACCTATTGAATACGAATATTGCCGATAGAAGGTTTCATTCAGCTAAGGCAAATTGAACATAAAACACTATAAAAAACGGAGGAATGAAGACAAAGATGGTGTGACCATTTGTACGGTCGCAGTCTCTTTTCTTTGTATAGTAGTTGTTTGACCTTGTTATCGCACTTTGGTCATATTTGCAGGAAGGCCTAGAAGAACACACTTTGTCCGGAGTCCATAGTATGTATGCTTATTCCCAGGGTCGGACTGTGGACTTGGTACATTCCCAGATGTTTCGCCGACATCATTAGTGAGCCTTGCCAATCTTAGCATTGAGCATATATACTATGGATTCCGAACAAGGCGCGTTCTTCTAGGTCTTTTTGCAAATATGGCAAAGTCGCGAAAACAAGGTTTGCTTCTTAATGAATGATCCTCTTGCGAAGTGACTTCGGAGAATGATTTCAGAGCACTATTTTGCTACAGTATGTCACAGATTGAAATTCACTCGGAACATATGAACCAAGCTGAACGGTAACTCAGTGTGTTCAGAGTTTTAAGTACTTAAAAAAATACCTTTTATCTCTTTATTACTAGCAGTGTATCAATTTGCAGTAAATTATAGGCCAACAATTGGGAGGATTCAAATTATGTGTTAATCATGATCAGAGCTTCTAATATTAATTGCAAGGCCCCTATCTTGTTTTCAAGCATCAGTACTTTGGAGATTTTATAATTCATGTCTAACAAATAGTTTTCATCAAAGAATCACTTCAAATTTCGTCAGCCACTAAAGACTAAAGTGACACGATAAAAATATTGATTCAAATTTTCCAAGGTATACTATATTAGCACGATATTAACCCGGACTTTATGAGTAAAGTGAGGGATAAGGGCTGCCTTCATTACAGAACTAAGTCAAAGTGGGTGACAGGGTTCATCCTGAGCATGGCGATGCCCACATTAGGCGTTTAATGCAATTCCTCGACCCTCAAAAACAAAGAACCTTGAATTTTGCTTTTCTCTCTACAGGCTTGGCTAAGTTGCTTATTTACAGGTAGTACATACAACCTCGAGTTGCTTCAAGAGTAGGATATAATAAAAAATAAAGTGTTGATAAGTATAGCTATGATTAGAAGGGGCTTTTGCATGTATTTGGTAATCGTTTTTTATTATCAAAAAAGTTAGTAATGGAAACCCATTAGAAGTGAGGTAGTTCTAATTGAGAAAATTATAAATCGTCCAGTTGCTCACCCTATGCCCCATTGAAAAACAGCGATTTAGCATGAAAAAAGCAAAGACAACAATGTCTTTTAAAAATATATGAAGAACTTTTAATTAAGGAAGCCGAGAAGTTAAATAGTTTGATCAATTTGTGAGAGATCGTACCGAAATATTAATTGATACACAGTTCTGAGCCATATGTTATTTGCTGATGAGGTTGTGGAGGCAAGAAGTACTGAATAAGCCTGAATAAACCTGATTTTAACGAGGGCATTTAAAGTTGCTAATCTTATTAAAAATGGTACAAATTGGAAATAAAATTACTTTTTATAATGACGATTGGAGCCTTTCGGGATATTACAGTAGCTTTTAGTAGCAACCGAGGTTTAGTGTTGGTTCGACCTTGCCTTCGCAACTTGGTCGGAGCGTCAGGGAGACCTTGTGGAACGTACCTAGTTCCGTGTCCTCTGCCACAGTGTTCGTGATTTCCGGCATTGGACCATTGGCTTGGTACATTTCCAAACGTTTGCTGGCATCGTAGTCGGCATCGTCAGTAAGAAGCGCCATCGTAAGCGCAACTTATCAACTTATCAAAGTGACAAGTGAAGGCAATCCATTTGACCAATTTTATGTTCAAACGTTATGGCTTCACTCCTAGCTCCTATTTCTTTTCTATTTCTAGAAGCTTATCCCATAGACATAAACGGCAAGAAGCAAGACAAATTTCACCAATTTCACTAGTTCAGTATAACTTTTATAGATGGATAGAATCAGTTTATGTAGTGTGATAGCTACATCCTTCATTATGGGAAGATGAGGATCTTAAGGGTTGCCATGTAGTCCGAATTCCTAAGCACTTTGAATACAAAAGCTTATTTATATAAAGCAACTTCATATCTCACTTCTGACTTGCTTTGTCTTCCCATTTAGCAAACACCTTGAAATATGCTATCAAGTCTGAAGAACGAAACTTTTTCTGCCAAGCCAAATGAAGCTGTGACCACAGCTGCAGGTATGTGTTTGTATAAAAATGTCCCAGTGTGAACGAATGGCTTGCGGAAAATAAGTTTATACTAATGATAATCTGCCTTAGTCACGCCTTTAGAATGGCTATTTATACGAGATTTATGAGACTATGAGTATGCAAACACGCTGAATTCTGACATTTTATTCCATAAGACCATCTTTATACAAGGTTTTACTAAAATAATGCTAAGCATAAGAGTTAGGTATAGTTAACTATATAGATGGCAAGATTTTAAAGTTATGGGAAATAGAAAGATAGAGTTGCTGTTACAACAGATCTATGTAAGAAGTATAAATCTAAGAGTAGTAAAAAAAGTGACTACATTAAATTTAATTATGACTTCTTTTAATATAATCAGTTCGTGATCTTTACTTGTGCTAGAACTATGTATTAGCTAAGTTAAGACTTATGAAAATACATTGGAGGATGTGATTCAAATAACAAAATCTGCTTGTATTCTATTATCTAATACACGTTATTAAATGGCTGATGTATTTTAAAATAAAGCTAACCCAAGCGAAATTACAATAAGGCAATAAAAAATGGTCCCGCCGTAAATATCTATAGCCAAGAGTTTCATTACTTTTGGCTCCTGGCTTATCAGTACTATTTAAAAACACATATACTGTTGAATAATTATCATTTACTATTCTTTAACCAGAGATTATACAATTATTTATTTTTGGAACCGCTTAAAAGAAAGAACAACATCAGCCAAAGACAATTAAATTATTTATACATCCACATATTCTAATATTTGTCAGATATAATATGATAAATTAGTAATGCATAATCAAATGCCAGTCATAAAATAACATCACATTAGTTCTATGGCACATGTTTTGGAGAAATTTTTAAAAGAATATAATTAGATTAAGAAAAAAAACAGAATAAAATCTTGAAAATAAATATTTTAAAATGCTAAAGCCGTCAAAAAACATTGTTATTCCAATTTTAAATATAACTACATTCGCTCTTTGGATCAGTGTTTATCAGGATCTATATAAAGCTTTTTTGTAGCTAACAAATAAAAAGGTAATTATTATATATTCAAAGGTATAAAATTCTGTTTTAAGATAAATCAAAACATAGACAATGAATTTATTAAATAATCATATTTTATATGATGATTTTGCTTTTAAAATAACTTATACATATAACGCTTACATGCGGCGAGAATTTCTACGATGAAGAATAGTCGAACCCTTGACACGGGGCATAAATTGACACAGTTGTTTTAAATCAGACTAAGGATAAAACCAATGAATCATAGGAAAAATTTAAGAACATCAGATTTCACATTTCTAGTAAATTTGGGAAAGATTGCAATAAATTGTATGAACTCAATGAGAACCATGACTTTAACCTTTTTATTAATCTAAATAATTATTTTAAAAAGGAGCATTACGAATATAAAACATTGAATATTATATTAAATAAAGCATTTGTAAATTCGATATAATCTTTGATGCATAATAAGTCTAGTAAATTCACCTTAAACAAATGCAATCAAAATGTATCAATATAAAATTAAGCCCTGCGAAAAAAAATAACTGTTGGGTAAACAGCAAGTAGTTTAAAGGATGTGGAAGTGAAATCGAACATTTATTGACGTTACCTATTATCGTGATTACTCTAAATAATTATTCATACCGCCTTTTGTTTAAATTTAAAGTTTAAAAAGTATGATTTTGTATTTAAATTTTGAAAAAATTAATTATAATAAGAAATTGTGATTAACAGTTTTGCAAATTTATTCAGCGCGCAACGACTAAGATGACTCAGACTAGCATCGACGATGTTGTCCGCAAATTCCAAAATTTGACCCAAGAATGGAATAAAAAGAAGCACGATCTTGATTTGGTCGAAGAAAAGCTTAAAAATCTTACAGTATTTGCACTTAGTCATATTTTCAGCTTGACCTTACTAATTTTCAATATCTTCCTTCCCGCGACAGCCAGGCATCTCGTAGAGAGCTGCTCATCGCAAGTATTATATATTATCGGCTAAATTCATTTCTTTTCAGGAGATACCTTGGAAATTGGGGCTAGTTGGTCATTAGAAAAAAAAGATATACTTTCCTTTGAAAGATATATGTCTCAGCTTAAGTGCTACTACTGTGATTACAAGTAATTTTTTGTTTTAATCGTCGCAGAGGTAACTTACCCGAGTCTCCCTATAAGTATGAGCTCCTTGGACTTAATTTGCTTCGCTTACTTGCACAAGGCCGCCTCGCTGATTTTCATAAGGTTGTGCATCATTGTGAAATATTACTATTAGGAACTTGAACGCCTGTCTAATGATGAGATTAATTCTAACATTTACATTAAACATCCTGTCTCAATGGAACAATATTTGATGGAGGGCAGCTTCCACAAAGTTTTTCTTTCTAAAGGCAATGTCCCTTCTGAAAGATATAACTTCTTCATTGATATACTCCTTAATACGACTCGGTTTGTCATACTCTAAATATTTAATTCATCAGCGATGAAATATCTTCTTGTATTGAAGCTGCGTATGAGCGACTCGAGCTTAAGGAAGCTGCCAGGACTTTATTTTTCGCTGACGTTAACTCTATGAAAGAGTACAGCAAAAACGTAGTTTTATTCTCGTTTTAATCATACATTTCCTTTTTATAGAAAGGATGGGTTCTTGACGAGTCCGGATTTTACACTTTTGTCAAGAACAAAAAGGGTCTGGATAACAATCAAGTTCCTTCCAGCGATGTCGCGAAGATTATGCTAGAATATACACGGGAACTTGATCAAATCATTTAAAGTTATTTTCCGGCATTTGCGTTTGCCTTTTTGAAATATTTTCATCCAATAACCTCCTGTCTTGATTTGTTCTCTCAGCCCCTCGATGATTTGGGTTATATTTGCTCATTGAATACTGGCACGCTTTCTCCCGCATTATGCTTGCTACAGAAATTTCTTTGAATCATTTAGGATTCATAAGTGTTCTATTATTGTTGAGTCAAGAAAAGCTGACTCTAGCTTGATTTTGGTTGTAAGGATGCTATCTCGTTATGCTGATGTTCGTCATACGACGGACGTAATCTTGGCACATTTTCATCAGAACCGAAGAAGATTACCCCAAAAACAGCCTCACCAAGAACGTTTCAGTAAGGCCAATCGACAGCTGATTAAGATGAATCCGCCGTCGTCTTCTGGTGGAACCGACCTTCGATTCTCTTCATCAAACGCTTTCACTCGAAATTGAAATAAACCCAGTAATTACTAACTGATTCGCAGAGATTACTACCATACTTTTGCGAAGAGTAATTTAGTCATTATCGAGTTTTCACGGATTATTTCATTTTGTTCAGAGGATGATTTCTCTCGGTAGGGAGCTACAATCATTGCCTTGCTTTTAGCTTAAAGCCACTGATACTTCCTCCATTATTGGAGACAACTTGGCCTCACATTTAGAGACTTCAAGTTAACATCGTGTCAGGTAAATAGATACGAATACCTTAAAACTTAATGGAAGCCTGACCAATGTGTCACGTCATTATCTTATCAAGATTCCCCAAAGCATTATCATCCTGGCGAAGGAGCCTTTATGGGAGAACTTTATCCGCCTTAGAACTACTTATTGATTTG